AATTGAACTGGTAGTTGTTGAAGCTGTTGATCCATCTCATTCTCTCCAAAAATGAAGCGAACTAATCTGATAGTGAATAGTATAGTTGTTAGGTTATTATTGTTTAGATGGACGTCTATTGCTATCAAGATTATTGTGATTCTCTTTTAATGGAATTTGACATAAGATAGTTTAACATGTCGTAAATGTTGTTCTAACAGAATATTTCCATTCTTAGATTTATATTTTCTGCTGTCCTTATGATTTATCATTGACTTTTTTTAAATATGATGATTTATCATTGACTTAGTAGCATGATGATTTCTTGATTATTTTGAAATAAGCAGAAGTTCATCATTGTCTATTTCAGCAAATTATGCATTTTGATGATAGAGAAAACCCTTTTAGTTATTACCGAAATCTCTTGGGCTTATATAGGCCCTACAAACATAAACTTACAAATAACCCCCTACATATTATTAATATGTCAACACTCCTCCTCAAGATGGGCGAAAGATATCCACTAAGCTCATCTTGTCACATGCTCTAATCATATCTACTGAGCTAAGTCCCTTAGTCAGACAGTCTGCTGTCTGGTCCTTAGTTGGAACATGACTTAACTCCAGTAGTCCTCCAGTGTCCAACTTCTCTTTGATGAAGAACCTATCGATCTCGATGTGTTTGGTTCTATCATACTGCACTGAATTGTTGGCGATACTAATGGCTGACTTGTTATCACACCACAGCTTTATCTTAGCTCCTTGATCCAGCTTCAGCTCCACCAGCATACTCTTCAACCATAACAACTCCGTAACTCCCAAGGCCATAGCTCTATACTCTGCTTCAGCTATTAATCTCGTCACCACTGACTGTTTCTTGCTCTTCCACGAGATCAAGTTACCTCCTATAAAGATGTAGTATCCTGAGGTGGACCTCCTATCATCAGTACAACTAGTTTTTCAGGGGCACTCTTCAAATACCTTAGAATCTGGTACACTGCGTCCATATGACCCTTCCTCGGATCATGCATGTAGCGACTCACCACGCTCACTGCAAAAGAGATATCGGGACGTGTGTGACTCAAATAGATCAACCTACCCATCAGCCTCTGGTATCTGTCACGATCAACTGGTTCTCTAGCCTTCGCACCTAGCTTGAACTTCTGGTCGATCGGTGTAGTTGCAGGTTTGCACCCTAACATTCCTTTTTTTTTTAGAAGATCCAGTGCATACTTCCTTTGGGAGAAGACAATCCCCTCCACTTCTCGAGCTATCTCTATTCTAAAAAAGTATCGAAACAAGCCAAGATCTTTTACCTTGAATTCCTTACCCAGTCTCACTTTGAGTTGGGCAATCTCCTTCTCATCATCCCCTGTAATAATCATATCATCCACATATACCGTAAGAATGGTAATGTGACCTCCACTCCGTCAAAAAAACACGGTATGATCGGTGTTAATCTGCTAGTACCACATACTTATCATAGCCCTCCTGAATCTGTCGAACCAAGCACGAAAAGACTGCTTCAGCCCATAGAGAGACTTCTTCAATCTGCAGACCTTGCCCACTGTCTGATCTGTGTCGAATCCTGGTGGTATCTCCATGTATACCTCTTCCACTAGATCTCCATAAAGAAATATATTCTTCATAATTAGTTGGTGTAGCTTCCATCCACCATTTACTGCCAGAGAGATCAAGGTCCAAACAGTGCTCATCTTCATCATCGGTGCAAAAGTCTCATCATAGTCGATGCCATATGTATGATTGTACCCTTTTGCCACCATACGAGCCTTGTAGCGTTCAAATTATCCATCTGGATTCTGCTTCACAGTGAAGACCCACTTGCATCCAACTGCTCTCTTCCCTTATGGTAGTTTTACTAAATCCCAAGTACTGTTCTTCTCAAGAGCCTCTAGCTCCTCGTGCATAGCCACTTTCTACTTTGGGTTCTTCTTAGTAACCTGCCAATTATTAGGCACAGTAACAGAGTCCAATGATGCAATGAATACTCCATGTGCAGTAGAGATGTTAGAATATGATACAAGCTGGGTAAGATCCTAACCATATCTATCAGAAGGATTTCCCGCATTGTTACGAGTAGTCCTCCGTACTGATATTGGTGTGGAAGGAGTAAGGAGAGGAATGATATCACCTTGGGAGAAATCTGGTGGTGATGTAGGTGTCTCAGGATTCGAGACAGGCGTTGGCAAGGGACTTGGCATCATTGGCTGCCTCCTCAGTCCCACTCCTCCTGTCTCCATCTCCTGCTACTCTCTGCTTTCTCCTGAGTATCTCCAGGAGTGCATGATCCTCCTCAGTGAAGACCATCTCTGCTGCTTCCTCTCCCTCTGTTACCATCAAATTCGCCCGGTTGCATGCTCCCCTTCCACCTCGTCGACCCCCACAGCCATGTCCACGACCTCCGAACTATCCACATCCACCCGAATCTCCTTCCTTGGGTGGATTGGTACAAACATGCCTTAAATGACCCATTTTACCGTAATTGTAGCACTACCGAGTCTCCCCCTTAGATCCAGTGTTGCCAGAGTTGGAGACAGCTAGTGCTGACTTCACCATAAGAAGTCCACCTATCCCAGCCTACAGCCTAATACGAGTCTCCTCCTCGATCATGGCCAAGACTGCCTCCTCAAGTGTAGGAATCTTCGACTGAGCTAGAAGCGATGCAATCCTCTGAGCAAACTCTGATGTCAGCCCCTTGAGAAACACCATAGTCCTCTCTTATAGAAAGGCCTCTCGCTCCTTACACTCTAGGTCTTTGCAGCTCTCCCAAGGTGAGAAGTGATCATAATCCAGCCACAGGCGCTCCAACTCTGTGGCATACTCATGTACAATCCTCTCTCCATGGACTGTGGCGTCGATCTCTCCCTTGATCTGGAACACCCTCAGGTTATTCCCCACCCCATCATAGGCCCTCCTCAACTTCTCCCAGACATCCTTCACCTTCCCGATGCCATCTACCGTGGCGGCGATCGACTGAACCAATGAGTTGAGGAGCCAGATGTACACCAACATATAAGTGGACTTCCACTCATTTCTTCCCGCCTAGCTCTCAGCCAGCTCTGTTTTCTCTCCTGTCAAGTATCTCTCCAGGTTCCTCCATGCATGGGTGTATCTCACCCGTCGTGAATAACTCAGGTAAGTAGCTGATCCATCAAGCTTCAGATCGATGGTTGGAAGCTTCAACTTTGCCGGTGGCCTTATCGCGCTCTCACCAGCTGACAACTTCATCAGCTGTATCAAAGTTGAGACCTCCGCAGGGTTCAACTTCTTGATGATCTCCTCCATCGATCAGGCTCTAGATCAAACACATGTTCTCCTTCTTCTCTTCGAATCCTTGTTGTGCGCAATGAAACTTTTGGCAGCACTTCTGCTGCACAACAAGAGTAAGATCTCAACTAAATCCTTGTTTCTCAAAGGAAACAAGAATCGAAGTGATATATCTCAACAGCATGGGATATACACTCTTCCTCTCATTAGTTCTAGGACTGATATGTCGAGGGAATCTGACAAGTCACACATCCTTTCATCAGTTCTATGACTGATATGTCGAGAGAATCCAACAAACTACACATCATCGACTGAGGCAGCAGCACAACGACGGAGGCTTAGCGGGAAGCGGCTAGGGTTGGGGGAAAGTGGTGTTGGATTTGGGTGTAGGTGGGGCAGCGGGTGCGGCAGAGGGGTAGTTAGCGAAAAAAAGGGGGGTGGCTGTGCAGGCGTGGGGTGGCAGCGGGGGGGCTGGCGGGGCTCTGTACAGGGCGGGGGCCTGTGCAGCGGGTGGGGGTGGCAGCGAAAAGGGAGGGTTGCTAAGCGGGGGGTGTAGTGGTGTGCACGGGCAGGAGGGGGGGGGTTTGCAGCGGCGCGGAGGGGGGTGGGGGGGGGGGGCTGTGTAGCGGTGGGGGTTGCAACGAAAAGGGAGGGTTGACGGGGGTGTAGTGGTGTGTACGGGAGAAGGGTGTGGCAGCGCGCGTGCGGGGGGGGGGGGGGGGCGCAACGAAAAGGGAAGGGTTGTAGCGGTGCGACGGGCAGAGGGGGGTTTGTGCGCGGAGGTGGGGGCTGTTGTAGCGGATGGGGTGCCAACGAAAAGGGAGGGTTTGCAGGCGGGGGGTGTAGTGGTGCACGAGAGGGGGGGTGTGCAGCGGGGGGGGGGGGGGGCTGTGTAACGGGGTGGGGTGCAGGCGAAAAGGGAGGGTTGAGGCGGGGTGTAGTGGTGCGAAAAGAAGCACGGGCCCTGACGGGGAGGGGTTGTGGCACAACGACCGGGGGGGCAGTGCTTGCAGACGGGGAAGAGGGGGTGCAGGTTGGGCCGTGCAACGGGGGGATGCAGCGGTGCGGCGCGGTGGGTTGGGGGCATGGTGCAGCGGGGGGGTTTGTAGCGGGCGGCGAGAGGGGTGCAGCGGGAGGGGGTGCGAACAGAGGGGGTGGCGGCAGGGTTTGGGAGTGGGCGATGGCTAGGTTCCTCGCTCTTATACCATTTTGATGATAGAGAAAACCCTCTTAGTTATTACTGAAATCTCTTTGGCTTATATAGGCCACTACCAACATAAACTTACAAATAACCTCCTACATATTTTTAATATGTCAACAATGCAGATATGTATAGAGTATAAAGTATTTGGTTATTTAGTGTACAGCTATGAAGAGTGACAGCAAGGTCCGATCATTTTCCACTATATCTTGATAATCATCTATTTATTCTCGTGGTACTCTTTGCATAAACTACTCAATTATCTATCTTTATAAAATCTTTTGAATAGGGCATCTCTCACCCTATTTTTGCTTCCAAAAAAAATGTATAGCGTATAGAGAACTAACCAACATTATTTGGAGAGTAAACAAAGCTAAACCCTGTACAAATATGGGTATTCCAGAAAAGCTATGCAGAGAGAGAAGAGAAAAGTAGTAATCACATCTTTGTACTCGTGGCTTGCAATCTCTTTTTGTATTTGGTACGAGGTACACTTTCATTCACATCTTTTTATTCACAACTTGCAACCTCTTTTGTATTTGGTACAAGGTTCACTTTCACCTTTCAAATCAATTCCTACGAAATCTATACAAATAGAAGTTTCCAATATCCCCTTCTTGGAAATCCATAATACAACATCTACGTCTATTCACAAACAAAATTGTAGCTCACCACAATACATGTATTAAGTACAGCTATTTTTTACTGTTTCAACCGTACCTAACTTAAATAGAGATACCGGTAAAATTGCATTAGATCAACGTACATATATTGTTCAGGTTTCATCCCCTTGCTCGACAGTTTGAGCTTCCACAATCTCACTTTTAGAAGGCACATTCTCTGCTTCCAATATTTCCTGAATGATATCTTCGGTCACGGAATCCTTGTATTTTCTCATCAGCTCCATAAGCGAATTCTTGCGAACATCCGCGTTTTCACTTATCGCTGACGCATTCTCTAACTCCATAGAACTTTGTGCGCTATCTTCGTCAACCACTCTCTTACTCTTCCTCCTTTTTGAGTTACGGCTCAAACCAGCGAGGCTTTCTTGAAAATGCTCCTCAAATATGACACCTTTTAGTGCACTCCCCATCTTAAAACCACAAAGGAAAAGGGAAAAAAAATTAATCATTTAATTTATGTAACAAGTAAAAGAGAAGAATATGATATCAATTTACCTGGGCTACAAAGGCATAGAGTGGTAGTGTGCTGTAACTGCAGATTATTTGTACAAACACACTATAACACAATAAATGAAATAAAGTTTTAGTGACTGCATGTTGGGGATACATCATTTTTTTTCCCTTTCAGAATAGAATGTGATAAATTTTTTTTGCACATCTAAAGGCTTGCAGAGATTTCTTGGTACCTGATTAGAAGTCTGGAGGCGATAAATCCAGGTTTATCCATGACGCAAGAATCAATTCCATACGTTATCTGTATTAAAAAAAAGAGTTAATATCTTGTTTTCTGTCTTCGAACAACATAACAATGTTTTTCTACCAATTTAACTCTCAATTTTGTAGGAGTGATTAGACTATTAGGTATTCTTTATGAGACAACACGGGTATGGATTCACTACTGAGTATGGGGTATTTTTCATGATACTCTTGCACAAATGTAGATTCACTATTAGTTTTTTACTTCCATTATAATTTTTCGGGACAAATTATTTGCAGTATCCCATGGCCAGGTGTCTTTAAGCTAATTTTATGATGCATATGCTTGTTCCTGCATATACCTGTTCACTCTTCTCTATAATTAAAAAGGGTTTAATTGAGTTTCTGAATTAAAAGATTATTTGGCAAAAGGCACATGGATAATGTTACATGGAGACCATCCAAACTAATCTGATCTATATATTGGAGATGCTTAAATTACAGGCTGCCGAACAATTTAAAGCTTCTAACAGTAAAATTTAGTGTTAATTAATTACTTGAATAACTTACCAATACCCAGAAGAAAACTGCAACCTCAAAGGCATTTTGGAAAAGTATGAAGTGAATGAAGAAGAGCATAATTCTCGGTCTATGAAACCAAAAGTGGTCATCTGTAATATTAACAGCCAGACCACCTTCAATAGCTAGCTGCTGCTCTGCGATCTCGTGAGCGGACTGAATGATTATATGCTCCAGTTTTGTGCCTACAGTAAGTAGTACCTGTATATTTAAGAAAAACCCCAGTCATTCAAAGACCTTGCCTGCAAAAATTCTTTTCATAAGTTTATGCTGAATCTTTGAAGGCTAATCTCTTTGCAGTACGCACCTCTGCATTTTTTTTTTTTGGTGAATCATTTCAGGAGCACTGATAGTACTTATACATGAACTCCATACTTTTCTCCCAATAATTTCAGGTTTTCATAGTATTGTATGGTCAACCATTTATTCATGACACTTCATCTGAAACTAGTTATAACACGTCGATATAAATTTATCTTATTTTTCATAAATTTGTGAGTATTGTGTGCTTGAGATGACGATGCAGTTTGATAAAATATATAAAAGAATCTAATACAAAGTAAATCCTGGAATACTTACAACTAAAGGAACAAGTGATATCCAAAAATATGCATGCCATCCTGCAGAGAGGAACAAATTAAATAAATAATGCAAGAAATATTCAAAGTATTGAATAAATTAAAATTTTAATTCACTCACCGTAAGCATTAATCAACAGCAAGACCACCACTAAAATCCAAAGGTACCAACTGCAACATTAGCCAAAAAAAGATCCGCTATTAACCTTATGTAGAATTATCCATTATGAGGTATCACAGAATAATGTAGAAAGTATTGTGTCAAGTATCATTGTTGACCAAAAACAAGCATAAAAGTTGGTATTTTTATACCTTAGACCAACAACTTTCTCAAAATCTGATTCAAGGGCTCGTACCATGTACGTTTGAAAATTAAATTTTTGGTTGCCCCTGCAATGAGTCTGCAAGAAAATAAATTGGGGTTATAAAGCAGATTATAGTCAAGAAGAAAATTACATTAAGAAACAGAAGTGACTACTAATATTATTTGCTTACCATTACAAAATAGTGTCTCATTGTAGTGTAGTCAGATTTGGATACTGATCCATAGAACTGTTTGAAAAATGAACTCTGAAACAAGCAAAAGAATGACAAGATTAAGATTAAGAATGGCGATTAGGCTGATTAGCGATGAATAAAACTCATTACTCACCAACCAACTTAATATTATCCCTCGATCATCACTAATACCATTAGGGATGTCCCTTAAAGTTGTAAACATAGTTTTTTTGGAGGGTGAAACTGCACATAGAATTACTTCAATTTAGGGCACTGTAGGAAGTCTATATGAAAAATTTATTTCAAGCATCATAAATATGCATACCGTGAACTTTGACATTATTCTGAATTGATTCTTCCCAACGCCTCCATTGTCGCATCTAAACCATGAGGACAGAATATTGTAAAATAGACTTTAAAGAAAATAAACGGCCATGTAACATGAAAAGGAGGCATTTTCATTTTTATTTATTTATTTATTATGTATTACCTTTAACCCTCCAAAAAACAAAGTAAGACCACTGAGGGTCACATGAGTTATTGCTAAAACAAAGATGAAGAGGTGCATCTCATGGATGGCTTCAACAGAGAGCACTGGAACTTTACCCTGTACCAAAAATATAACAGCTAAAACACAATTTTCTTAATAATAATATTTAAGAGTTGGTTGCGGATAGACCTCCTTAGTGTCGTTGTTTTGAACTTACTTCCCCTATAGTTTCATTCTTGCAGACAGACCCCTGATTCAATTTCACTTGATTCTTTTACTCTCTCAGGGATAGAGAAAATTATTTTTTGACAAACAGACTCTCTGGGGATAAAAGAGTCGAAAATTTTCACTCAGGCGATCTATCAGCAACAATTAAATTGCAAGGCTATAGTAAGTCCGAAAAACAATATATATTTCATGGGTTCTAGTGGCAATTAATCCTAAAATTAAATATTATCACATGATTTCCGACAAACCTTTTTGCAGATTGAGCCAGAGCCAGAGCTTGCCAGCAATCGTCGGCCATTGACATGAATCAGAGAAGTGAAAGCCTGAGCAGCCGCCTCATCGGAATATTTACAAGGGAGCATATGCTGTATAATGTTCTTAGGGATGCAAACTTTTTGGATTGTTCCTTGAAACACCACCAAGAGTAGAGATATGAACCCCAACAACATCAATTCTGCAAAATCACATCACCCATGATACATAATTGTGAGTTGTTAATCAGTCCGGATTGTTAGTTGAGTTAAAATTAGTTAGAGTAGAATACTAGTTAGTAGATAATTCTCTAGTTATTGGATAAGATTAGAGTTGTAATCTTAGTCCTTATATATATATATGTAAACAACCTATATGGTTTTGATAACGTGAAATAAAAAGAAATCAAAAAAGTTCCCTGCTCCAATTTGTTGTTCCTGCTCCTTTACAAATCGGCTTCATCAACCAAAGACAGAGCTTTTGTTCTCTGTTTTCTGTGCTTGCTGTTCGGTTCTCTGGAAAAAAACTGCCAGGTTCGGTTGCTACAGTATTTACAGATTTTCTCAAATCAGTTTCAGATCTGATTCAGGCCGATCCTATTCTCAAAGCCAACAAGTGGTATCAGAGCGGTGTATGCCTAAGTACCAACCAAGATCTGAAGAGATGACGAGTTCGGAGAAGATGACGACCAAGGTGGGTTCGCTCACTCTTCAATACCCGACGTTATCGAGGGACAACTATGCTTCGTGGGCAATCAAGATGAAAGTCTACATGAAGGCTCAAGACGTGTGGGATGCCATTGAGCCCGCGGCAGGCGCGTCCGTGGAACACAGGAAGGATCAGATGGCGTTGGCGGCCATCTACCAGGGGATTCCTGAAGAGACTTTGATGGTGATCGCAGAGAAGCAAACGGCAAAAGAGGCATGGGAGACGTTGAAAACAATGCATCTAGGAGCGGATCGTGTGAGGAACGCGAAGGTGCAGACCTTGAAGTCCGAGTTCGAACTTCTCCGGATGAAGGAGAATGATAACGTCGACGATTTTTCGACGAAGTTGACAGGAGTCGTCAACAAGATCCGGACTTTAGGCGGCGAGATGGAGGAGAACTACGTCGTCAGAAAGCTACTTCGGGCGGTACCGGAGAGATTCCTTACTATCGTCTCCACGATTGAACAGTTCGGGGACATCGACGACATGACACTCGAGGAGGCGATCGGGCGTCTCAAAGCCCACGAGGAGAGGGCACGTGTTTTTCGAAACAACGTCGACGATCACCTATTGTTGACGCATGCGGAGTGGCAAGCAAGGAGCAAGAACAACGGCGGAGGCTTCCTCTCAACAACTACACCCAATGATGGCAGCGGACGAGGACGAGGTCGCGGGGCCGGTCGTGGGCGTGGCCGTGGCCAAAGAGGCCGAGGCGGACAGCAGCACCACGGCAGCGGGCAGCAGCACCACGCTGCCCAAGCAGGCCGCGGAGGGGAGCACGGCGGCCAGGCAGGCCGAGGCGGCTTCGGCGGCAGAGGAGGACGTCCAGGAGGTGGTTTCGGCCATGGAGGTGCAGCTCGCCAGGAGGGGGAGAGTAGCACAAGCACAAGTTGGCGGTTCAAGACAAATCCACATTAAATGCTTCAATTGCGCGGAGTATACGGGGCACTTTCAGTCAGAGTGTTCCACAAGCAACGCCGCTAACTCGCAACCTTATGAACAGGAGGCTCATCTCACCCGTGCATATGACGAGGAGCCATCCTTTTATGATGGCTAGTGTTAGAGGAATCGTCAAGTGTTATTTTGTTAAATGAGGAGAAGGTGATGCCGGATTATACTTACAGCGGGGGAGGCACATGTGACCAACAACACTTGGTTACATTTGACAACGGAGCTAGCAATTCACATGACCGGCCACCAACTCTCTTTTTTTTTTTTTT